GCAGATAGTATTCAACGTCCCTGCCATGAAATCAGGCTTTTAGTGGAACCTTGGTAAACCTTGCCCACCAAATCTGCAAATGCTATTCAAAAGTCTTGCGACGAAATCTGACTGTAAGCGGAACCTTGCCTGTTGAACATTAAAGCTGCTGTTATTCTAGACAAAAAAGCCAATCAGCCAGGAACCAACAACTTAGTATGACACACAGGAAGATTTGAGCGGAAACTTGACTTTTAAAAACTAAAGCTGCTGCTGTTGTAAAAAGAGGCCAGAAAGCCAGGAAGAGACAGGAAACGTGATTTAATATAATGCATTACAGAATTGACAAAATGTATGAAATAGAATGAAATTACTCCAATAATCAGAAAAGAAAAAACCATCAAACATTTAATCACTCACGTTAGTTCAGAATAATGTAGTACATACCTGAAAGCGTTAGCCGTGTCTGCTCATAGGGGGAGGCGCGTCCCCCTCCCCCCAACCCGCCCCTGTGCCACAAGATTCCTGCCACGAATTTCGACTCTGAGCGGAAACTGCCTGTTAGCCAGGAGGCCAGGCAGGAGGAAAGAGATTAGTATACAGGCCGACGCCCAGCCCAAAGAGGGTTCGTGGTAGAATTATTATTTTTTGATTAAGTAATTAGTTTTTTATTGATCCCCTTGAATAATTTTTTATTGATGCGATAAATAGTTTTTTTGATACTTCACCCCCCTATTTGCCTCAAGCCCTTCCTTCCAAAAAGCATCGCTGTGTAATGCTGAACCGATTGTGGGGACTGTGGCTGCAGTATGCTTAAGGAGTTGTAGAAGACAAGAATTTCTTCCCTGACACTGACACAGTCTCGTCTTTTTGGGGCGGAAAGCAGATGGGGAGCTTGGTGGACTGTTACTGCAAGGGTCTTTCTGGTGGACCGCGGCTTTACGATGCGTCTATCAGCCTCGAAAACGTCGCTTGGCCAGGCAAGGGACTGCTGAGAAGCTGGCGGAATGAGAGGGAATGACGCACCTGTTGACTGTGCTCGGATAAAGGGATGTCTGCGGAGGGCTTGCGGCTGATGAATACTTGTTGCATCTATGCGTTGTGGCCACACAAACATACGAAGCCCCAAGGAACCCCGGTGGTGCATGGACAACGACAATCTCGAACCCTCTGTTCGTTTCTTCGCTTGCCCTCCCCATTTGCACAGAGGAGTCTTCAATGGACTTCAACCTGAATGAGACCACCTTCCCCCCATCCTGATGGGCTCTAAGCCATCATGGTGTTCAAAACGACGCAGGTGCATTCCAATGCATTGTGCCATACCGACATCTACACGTCCCCTGGCGGGAAATCCTTGCAGCACAAGGGGCTCTGAATGCGGGATGGCCAGATTTCCGCCTGGAAGCAGGTGGCAAAACTTGGACCTGCTAACAGAGAGGTAGATCACCTCCCTGACAACCTCCTATTTGATCTATTTGCAGAGGACAATGGGTCTTCCACGTTAGGCAGTGCCATCCACTTCCACGTGCTACGTTCGTGTACTCCGCAGGCCCCCAGCGACTTGTTTGGCACGGCTGAGGCTTTCGGGCCAAGATCCAGAGGGCCTCTTTCCCAGCGCCTTGGCTCGGGCCATTTGGTTGGCCCCAAATCTGGTGGAAGTGGACTCTGGAATCTGGCGGAGCCCGAGTAAGTTAAGGTCTACACCGGTAGGAAATTGGAGAAATTCATTGCCCCAAGGTCTCCTCACCAAACTCTTGGCTAATATACCAAGTGCGATCTCCGGTAAAAGCTGTGCCGCCACGTGGGTTTCTTTGTTTGTTTTTTTGGGGGGGTTTTGTTTTGCTTTGCTTTGCTTGCTTGCTTGCTTGCTTGCTTGCTGGCTTGCTTTTGCTGAGGGGCATGCGGCATGTGTAATAGTCCCGGCCCGGCAAGAGTGAAATTTGCAGTTGCAAAAATTACCTTTTCTTAAGATCAAGGGGGCCACTTCCGAGAATAGCACGCAATCACCCTCATGGATTTCATTGCGTCGGAGAATGCAACTCTCACCTCCCATGCAAAGGAAGCCTTTGCAGTCCCCACATTTTTTAGCACAGCTGAAACAGCACACTGCATCTCGACACGGTGCCGACGTCCTCGCACTCCGACAGGTCATAGGTCAACTTCTCCAGGTGAACAAGGTCGTTGAGAACTTTCTCCTTGGGAAAACACCATCGTCGCTGCAAGAAGCACCGCCAGGACCACCGTTCCACACAAACTCGCCAGGACGCAGCGAGAGAAACTCTCGTCGCAGAAGAAGAACCCCCCGCGGTGTCCCACGAAGAACACGGTCGCATCTCCACAGCCGGATCCATGTGGTGCAGCACTTGCTTCGCCACAAGAACAGTAGAACGGCCGTTCACTCGACCATGCGAGCTCGCTGGCCCAGAAGCCACAGACTGGTCGCTGATCCACAGCCCAGCTTGCCGGCGTCCTCACGGTTCGGTGGCCTTCGCCCAAATCCCCACGAAAGGCGGCCCAAGGACACCCGCTGTCTCGATGCTGAAGGGAGCATGGTAGCCTGGTAGCCCAGGTGGCAGTGGCTGGCAAGGTGGCAAGGTGGCAAGGTGATCATTCAGCGATGCTGACGCGAACAGACTGCAGGAGGTGATCTATCCACATGGGTGTCAGGACATAGCGGCATTAGTTGCGCTACATCTCTAACAAGCCCTCAAACTTGCTCCCACCCAAATGAAACGCATGCGATTGTCCTGTTACGGCCCCAAGCCCCCGGCCCCGATCTTCTATAGTGGGGGTGCCACAGGAGTCCCTATAGCGTCCCGGTTAGCCACAACAACCGACAAAAATAAGAAACACGCCTGGGCTTTGTGGTTTTTGTTCGGAGAAGCATTCAGCATTCCTAGCCCCACCGCCTTGACCTTGCCACATCTCCTTAGTTTGGGGCTTGACCATCATGAGAGTGCGGTGTGGGGCTTTTCACATCGCATTAGAGTTCATTAGAACATGTTTGAAGCCCTACCTAAATCTGCATACAGGCATTTGTTCCAACCATGGCCTCTGACTTTGGACGCGGTGGATGCCCCCCCCTGTGACTGTGGAAGGCAGGGTAAGGATGACTAAGGGGGAGAACTTCAAAGGACTCATTTTGACAGTTTTGGCTAGCCACCAATATCTATTCATGAAATTGATGGACGAAATGAGGAATGAAACTTTGGGTTCCTCAATCAGGCATTTTGGGCCATGAAGCCGGCACGGTTGTGGAGAGCGTGGGCGAAGGGGTGACAGGTCTGGGCCTCAGCTTTCTGGGCGGGTTTTGATGATTTTGGTCCTTCAGAGGATGGAAAGGATATATAATGTTTTCTTGACACGTGGAATTGGAATCGCAGTTGAGCAGCCCTGAAAACTCTACGGCAACATACTGCAACAACTCGGAGTTTGTGAATGTGGACTCCATCTCTTCCTTGGATCGCCGATGCAGTTTCAACATGTTTCAACCAGATATTGTTACCATGTTGTTTATGTCTTCCGCTCTGGCACTCTTGGCGTAGGGCATTTAGGTCCGAAAAATCAGCCACTGACGTAAGCCAGCCCATCCCATGTCGAGGCCTGAAGCCAGGTGACAAGGTCATCCCTTGCTACACTCCGCAATGTGGCGAGCCAGTGCCTTCGGCCGAACCGGGAACAGGGGGTTCCCGGGAAGCGGGCTGAAGAGATGGAATCGATGAGTGTGAAGATGGCCATGGGAAACTGGTCCTCGAGTGGAAAGGCAGTGCTCCGGGAAAACTTCACTGTCTACCTATATGCATCAGCAAAATGCCTGGAAAGGCCTGTAAAAGGTTTGATGGCCAGATGTTGTGAGGCTTTCATCCAGGTGACCACTTTGGAAAAAAGATTAGCCTGGGTGAGTGCTGCAAGTCCAGCATGAAGCGCCTGTGCTTCTACGCCCCCTTGGAGTGTGTGGTGGAGACGGTCGCACCGTCTCCGCGCGCAACGAGTGCTTGGACTTCCTCCCACGGGTGGCCACGCCGCCTGGAACTCCCTCGTCGCCCATGTCCACCGTTGAAAATGCTGCCGCGACCGCTGCCTGAGGATTGTATTTTTTGCTTTCCACCCAGAGGCGGGAGTGTTCACCATTTCTCCGTGCAACAGCAGTGTGCTTTGCCCCATCAAGCAACGTAGTAGTTGCTGTGTGATCGATAGGGCAAGTGGTTGCCGTCTTTGTCGATTCCTTTTGTGGATATATTCAAAACAGAGCATTCACTGCCCCCATCACTGCCCTGCTGAACACCGCGTGTGCGTGCGCCAGGCAAGAGGACGAATTTGTGTCCCAAGATCCGTGGAACCCAAGGCGGGCACGGGTGGACGACTCGGACTTCGGACCCGGCCATGCTCTGCGGGCGGGCCGTTGGTTGCAGATGAAGGATGGGGATGAAACTGTTTGATCTGTTTGGGTGGACTTGCACTGTTGGGCAAGCTCAGTCTGAGAGGCAACTTCCACAGTAAAAGAACAACATTGGTTGGAAGCTGGTTCTGGACTGTGGCAGCCAAAGCCTCCTGCGCAGGTTAGGTGCAAATTGCCCAGGAAACAACAAGCTGATGTTTGGGCAGCAGGGGAATAAACCATTCACCTATCCTATCCTTTGTGGAAATTTGGAGACTGGCACTCTTACCCTCCCATATGGGACACCCTTCATGCGGCTTCCCCCTTGGCTCCGAAAGTGCTCCAGCGCTTGAGACGGAGATCCCTTTTGAATCTTCATCCAGGCAACGGTGTGATGCCGGATGGCACCAGCCGATTTACCGATGCCGAAGGAAAGGAGATCAAGCGCCTTGACTGAAGCTTGTGGCCGAACTCGTGGTCCAGCTTGTGAGGCAAACTGACCTGGCTTTTTCTTGAGGCGTCCTTGCGTCAAGCACCAAGGGAAGATGAGTTTAGCTTTTGTTCAGGCAGGTCCAGACAGGTGCGCGTCTGGTCGTTCACACCTCACTCTCCGTGGATTGGAAGGTGCAACATGTGCCCCTATGACATCCTAAACTACACTGATTCACAGGTCTTCCACGACATCTCTGAAGGGCATGCACATTCTTGCCCCAAAGTTGCACATTGGGGGGCTCCCACTGGCCCGGCCAAGGCATTTCATGGGGTGCTCCACCTTCTCCGAGTACACCGTAGTGGCCGACATCTCCTGCGCTAAGGCGCCCACCTTCGGTGTTTCCACGGAACGGGGAGGCGCAGGTTCGTCGGGTTCATCGTTTGGGGGTGTTCATCCAATTATATACTATATACATACTTGACGAAGGGACCTTTTTCCCAATCAAAGTCTCCACATATCCCCGTCCATGAATTTTGCCGGTTTATTGGGAAGCTCAGGACTGCCTCTCTACTCTACCGGTTCTTGTTTTTTTCCCTCTCGTTTCGTTAAACAATGACCAGTGAGGCCAAACAAAGCCTCCACAGGACCAGTCCGACAGCCTTGGACCGGGGAACCTGAAAGACCTCCGCTTCTCACACCTCGATCTTCGCCCGGGAACCTCAACCTGGGAAGGTCTCTGAGACGGCGCCCTTGGATGTGGCTCTGACGCAGAAGAGAGATCTCGTTCGGATCGGACTGGGGGCATTTCGCACGAAGGAACGGATGAACGGTGGGCGTTTCCAACACGGACGCCAGGACTTCGAGGTTCAGGACATCAGGCTCCGAGAAAGCCCATTAATCGCATCACATGATCAGGTGTACACGTATACGATCAGTTTGACGAAGTGGGCCAACCTACCATATACAACACTGGCAAGGGCTGGGCTTTCACCTTGTGGACAGCCTTCAGTATTCATTGCTCATGTTTGACAACAGGACTCGACACACGGACATGAAGCACCTTCGGGTTTCGGTGGACTTTCTAACCTCCCAGGTGTGCTCCCTGTTGGGCTGCGGTGTCTCGCCCCTTGGCAGACACAGTGTTGGCGTGTTTTCGTTGGAGCGACTGCTTGGACAAGTATCTCACTCGGTGGAGTGCCCACTTGGAATCTGCAGTGTGGCCGTGATGCTTCTTTGGCCCGCCCCACCCATTAGAGCCAGTACTGCCGAAGACAAGGCCTTTCAATCCTTGGTCTTGGTCATAGCTTCCTTTCTTTTGGCACCTGGCACCCTCAAATTGTACCTCTGGACCGTCCACATCGGCTCCACATCGGCTCCACATCGGCTGTGACGGTTCTTTCCAAGACGTGCAGGGTGGAAGCTGGGGCCGTGATCGGTTCATCCAATGGATCGGTTGCTGTGCAATACGTGCCGGTCCACAGAAGAATTTAACATAATTTAACTGCAAGACGTGTTGACCATACTGCGCATGACAGTCCACTCGTTGCTTCGGAGCTTCGCTTTCTTCCGCCATGGGCGGGTATGAGACGGAGACGTGAGTCAGATTCGGTGTCCATCATTGCCGACTTCCAAGTGGCTGGGAGGATGGGAAGTTTGCATCTTCGTGGGCCAAGCGGACTCACGAAGAGAGCCGTGGCGGAACCGCAGAACATTCCGAGCGACTTCAAGTCATTCTGAAGCGACCTTCACTCCCAAAGAGACCTTCAGTGCCTTTCACCCCACCAAGTCGCCCAGATTGGCACTCCACCCGTACTCCCCCCAGGACCGGCCTCGGCGCAGCCTGGAACACCCTGAACATCGAGGGCGGCTCCAGCGTGGCCGTCTTCGGACTGGGCGCCGTGGGGCTTTCAGTGATCCAAGGCTCCAAGATGCGGGGCGCCGCCAGGCGCGGTGGCGCGGTGGGTGCGGTCTCCGGGGTTGCGCAAAGGCTTCGGGTGACGGCCCAAAGGGAGAAGTTCAGAAGACGTCATCAGAGCCGTGCCAGAAATTCACAGACTCATTCGTGGGATTCATTTGGACTCTGGTGGTGGCAGGGCTCTCGTTTTCGCCATCGCTGTCCAGAGTTGGGGCCTTCGCTTCGCAGGATATTTGCAATTGACATGTACCTGGGCGGCATTTGTTCACCTTGCGCTGGGTCTTGCCTTGGTAATGGTTTTGGCGCAAGTGATCACCTCAATCTTGTGAAGCATGATGCCTTCTTTCCTCTGAATCAGGGGTGAGGGGAAAACATTGAACTTCATCCAGATACTGTAAATAGTGTTGGCCAGAAGAATGTGCAGTGTCAAAAGCTTCCTTTGCTGCTGAGCTTGAACCTAGTGGATACATGCCCCCGCACCTCCTGGACCCTGGGTGTGCAGGTTGGCTGCACCAGACAATGCTGTCAGGATCATTTGCCATATGCACCTGAGTGCTGAAAGGTCAAGGTGGTTGCAGCCCATCAGACTGCTACTGGCCGGTTGCAGGTAGCCGTGCAGTCGCTAGCTGTGCCCAGGAACCCGAAGAAGTTCGAGATGGCCAAGGAGCTGGGTGCCACAGACTGCGTGAACCCTAAGGACTATGACAAGCCCATCCAGCAGGTGAGCAAATGGCCAAACTAAATACAGCGGTTTCAGAGTAGATGGCACAAACCCCAAGATGTCTTTTAGATGGGGATCCATATAAACCACCTTTTGAGGATTGTGCAATCTACTCTCAATCCACTGTAGTACAATCATGTAGTACCAGGCGGAGATCATAACATCAACGTTACGAGCTATGGGGTCAGTCGAATTGTCTCAGCCATACCTTTGGCTTGAACGTTTAGGTTTCAGGGCGGGTTGGGTTTTGTGTTCGGGGCAGTGCAAGTTGTGTTTGAGGTAAACCCTGCTGAATTAGGACCTGGGCAAACGAAGACATGATTTATATATATATATACATCTTGAACACCTATCGGCAGCCTTCCATCTTTTCTGCGTTCGACCCGTTGGCACACCACAAATAGAGCAATGCAGGTCATTGTGGGCATGACAAAGTGGGGTGTGGACTACACCTTCGACTGCCCCTTGGACCCCAGTTTTTCAGAGCAGCCGAGCTGGGACATGCCATACTGAGCTGGGAAGGCCCTCGAGCAGGAGATTTGAATCCCAATTTCCTTTTTGGGCATCATTGGAGTGATCTCCACGCCCAAGAACAGACAAAGAAAGGCCCTGTGGCCTACTGGCTTCACATTCCTCATCCTCTCATGCCCTCATGCCGTGCCGGGAGTCACAGCCAAGTTCCATTGAATGATGTCTTCAGCCAAATCCCCACTTGTTCGCGCCCCCGGACCTTGCTCCTGACCACCAAAAACAAGAGTGATGCGTGCTGCCAAGGCACTGGAAATGTGGAGGTGATGCGTGCTGCCTTGGAGTGCGCTCATCGTGGCTGGGGCGAAAGCTGCGTAGTGGGTGTCGCCGCAGCCGGCAAGGCGAGCTCGCCGGCGAAACGGCTGTGTCGGTACAAGAACCGGCACCGAACCGAAGCTCAACGGAAAGCAACGGCCTCGACCCGACCAATATTCTTTCGTTGGGAGTGACCGGGGTGTTGCCTGCTTCGCTCGCATGGCAGCCGGCTGCGTGGACTGGTGCGGACTCTTACACGGCTGCTCCTATAACATCCTACAACCTAGATTTGCCCCAACTGTTTGACACCCAACAATCCAAACAGAGATCGGCCAGGTGTGGTTGTCAGATATCACGGGCTGGTACAGGGAAGAAGAAGCAAACCTTCGGGGGCTTGGTGCCAACCATGCAGGAGATCAGCACACGGCCGTTCCAGCTGGTCACCGGCCGCAAGTGGACTGGCACAGCGCTTGGCCCAGAACGTTTGAACCGAACGCCTTAGTAGAAGGCGTCCTCAGTGTTATAGCAGTCTCCGAAGAACAAGGGTCGGATTGAGCTCGGAGTTCTTTTTGGGATGTCTTCTGGGAGTTTGGTCATGCAATTTATGGAGTGTTGCAGTCTGCGACCATGTCATGCCTGTGGCCCATCAATCCTCCAAAAGCCCCGGACCTTCCGCTCCCTTCCGGTCGCCTCGGGGTTCTCCAAGGCCTTCGGCGGCTTCAAGGGCCGCTCAGAGGTGCCACCCCTCATCGACGACTATGAGGACCGTCTCCGGGGTGCGCTTCGCACCGGTGTGACCGTTGACCCAAACAGGGCAAGACCCAACAGCTTGGGCCAACAGCTTGCGTCTTCGGAAGCCTCGGGGTGTAAACTGGTTCAAATTCCTGAGGGTTCTGATATGTTCTGATGGCACTTGATGATGAACAACTTGACTTAGCAGCTTGGTCGTGGTTGATGCTTGATGCTGCAGCCTGGCGCAGTCTAGTTGCTAGTTTATTGAAGCCATCAACACAATTTTGGATTCATGTCCCATCCCAGTCACTGATTGTTTTGGCGATGATACCCAGACCGATATTGACATCGATTGATATAGCGAACACCAACGACGTCCGATGACATCAGATCTCCTCTAAATTTGAGGGATGTCTGGTGTTTGGGGCTTTAAACTCACGGAGTTCTCCTTCGTTCAGCTGAGTGATTCCCTTGGGAACGGGGTTCGGGGTTCACCTGTGACCGATGCGCCCGAACAATGGGCCACTTCACCAGTGTTCGGTGGCGTTCATTTTGGGCACATAACAAGGAGTCACAGTAGAAACGTTCTCGACCCCACCCGAAATACACAGCACTAAAGGCAAGCGCGACCGACCGCATGACCCCAGGCAGGCCGTCTAAAGCTCGACCACTACATCACTCATCGCTTCCACGGTGTGGAAGGCGCGCCACTGTGGCACTGCCCGATCAATCCTTGTCGATGCGTTAACACACAGCTGGTGGCTGTGTTTGGGTGGCCATGTTCGGCCCTTGGAAGATCAGTGAAAGGCCAGGCGGAAGGACCTGAGACGTTACTCTTGCAACTCTTTGTCCCAAGAAGGCCCAGAGGTGTCTTCGGACCCTTCAACTCACCGGTTCGGCCCGCCTGGCCTGCGTGTCACAGGCAACTTGCAGGCCGTTGAAGCGTTACATTCTGGCGACTGCCTCCGGGCCGTGCGGCACTCAGTCGAAGATGGTCGAAGCGATCTCGCGATCGCGGCACCCTCTCTGGAGGAGATGGAATCTCACGGAGTTGGCCAGGGTGGGTTTCGCAGTGAAATCGGTAGGGTAGGTCTTCCCTTTCACACTGAGAGTTGTTGGGGGTGAAACGGGGCGCCCTTTCCGCGCCCACGGTGGGGGACCTTATTGGGCGGCTCACAACCTCGCCTGAGGTTGTGACCTACTGAGACGAGGTCTTACGAAGAGGTGATCATTGCCCAATTGAGAGGTCCAAGTCCAAGATGTGACTGAATGGAGCCCCGGTTTGAGATGGGCTGGAATCTGCCGGAGGGGGCACAGAGGCAACAGAGAGCGTAAGTTGGCGCAAGTTGGAATACCAAGACCGCGGGATTTGCCTGGTTTGAGCTGTCCTGACTGCGCCCTTCTCTGCCTGATCCCAGCAAGGAGCTGGCAGCTCGCAATGTATATAGATAGCTTTTGAAAGAGACACTTCCGAATGAAGCTAGCAAAGGCGGGAAAAGAGGTTAGCCTGTGAAGCGGATGGTGTGATGACGTGTGGTCACGTATCATGTCAGGTTTTTGGTGACCAAACCCAGGGCTTCTTCGGCAAGAGCCCCCGGGTCACGGGAAGGAGACCTTGGAAATTATAGAAGATTTCTAGATTACTTTTTGGGACCCCGAATGCCAGTTCTGCATGTATGAGGGCCCAGCCAGCTCCAAGTAAGTGAGGTACGGTTCTATAGACATGAATCTTGCGGGAAAGTTCCGTTTTCTTGCCCAACCATCTTCTCCAGGAGCAGAATTGGCCTGTCTCCAACGTCTTCTTCGCAATGGCATGGTGGCCAAGACCGCCATCGGAGAGCACTGCGAAAAACTGAGCAAAATCCTGTCCAACTCGCTCATGGGCCTGGGCACAAGGTGCCTGCTGGAGATGGATTCTGCGATACTTTTTCATTTGGGACCTGGAACTCCAAAACATCAACATCGCCAGCCCAAGCCTCAAAAAGTTTCACTTCCGGGTTCCCTCAAACACAGGTCGCAGGGTTGACCCGAAAAGCAGGACGCCCAGTTCCATTTGCAAGAGTGGACACTTCCATCCAGACCGAGCCGTGCTCACTGAGGCAATTCTGCCACAGGCCGTGTCTACAGTCTTCAAGGCGAGATGGGATCACAGGTCCAGCGGAATTGGAAACCAGTTTGATTGATTGAGCCAAAACCCGCCCCAAAAAATCAGCTAAAGCCCCACCCAAACTGGTGGACATTGACCATGTTTTGGTGCTTTGCTTCCATTCAAGTTGGCGCTTGAAGTTGTGCCCCTTCTTTTTCCTCAGTCCGGGGCCGGGGTAGTTTTCTGCAATCCATGGGTTCTCCAGCTTGACGTCGAGGATCTTCTTAGATTGGTTTCGTTGGCCGTCCTCCCTGCAATTCCTTCAAAGCATCGTTTAGGTCGGCTGAGGCCACGACCTGGGCCCAGGCACCTCTAAGTCTGCAACAAATCCCAAGTCTTCCCCCTGGACGATGTGCAAGTAGATACAAGGTTTCGGAGAGCAGGCGGGTCGCGCAATTCGAAGTACATAAGAACATATAAGAGCCAAGAACCCTCACGGGGGATTGTGCACGGGCTTTTTGATCTTTTGGTCTGGCGCGACGAGTAGGCATGTGTTTGCAGTGAGGAGATTGCCTTTCGCGGATATGATGGCGACCTCGACGTGCCGCTTGGCGACCTCGTGTGAGGATTGAGGCCCAAGGACACCGTGTCTCCAAAACGATGCCGACAGCTTGACATCAATGTTAAACAGGTGGATCCGGCGAAAAAACGGATTTGGTCCTTGAGGGTCGCGCAGGGTCGCGCAGCCCGGAACCGGAGTGGTTTGGGCCGATGGGAAGGAAGAGTTCCATGAACAAGAGGAGCACTCAGCGCTGGACAAAGCAACACCTCAATTTGGCACCTCTCCCGCCTCTCGCCTCTCCCGTGCCATTTTTCAGCAGATACCGGGCCTTGCCACTGTGCGTCCCCACTGTGCGTTGCACACCCGCAGCCAGTTCCCGGCCTTGAGAAGTGTAGGTCACAGGTCACATCTTCTGCCGAGGGCGACACTCCCCGGAACTAACCTGGAGGTGGAAAATGGTTGGAAGACAATTTTCCTCTACAAACAGGTGGCTTTAGTTACAGGCAGAGTTACATGGACCGCAGAAAAAACAACAAACCACTGGGTTGTAGAGGAACGTTCCGCCCCGAGTCCACAAGTTCCTTTTTCACCCACGTAGTCGTCTGCAGGCAGCTACCATCATCTAACAATCAATCACACCACTCTGATCTCTGTGGTGATGGGCCTTGGGCCCTCTATCCCTTGAAATTCGCTCAGATTTTCAGGAACGTCTTGCAGTTCTGGGTCGCAGCTTTTCAGGCCGCCTTGGGCTGCTGAGAGTTGGTTGGGTTATGCTTCAGCTGTGCAGCAAGTGCAGGTGCAAAAGTTCCTTAGGGTTATCTGGGTGTGGCATATTGCAGCTTGAAGCTGATCATCAAATAGGTGCTTGACGAGAGCATGTGTGGTGGTTTTCAGCTTCCTTCGTTTCTGGGAGTAGTGGCATGACGGCCAAGCACCCTTCGGACTCGCCGGTGGAGCTTTACTGAGGGACTCCTCGGGATCAATTACAATCGCTTTCAGAGGCTCCAAGGGCGCCAGAACCGTGTTCCCCACCGGTTCCCAGGGAGAAAAACGTCCCGCCCCGCCAGGTGGCCGTGAACTTCTTGTGCATGCCAGTCTACTCCCTGCAGATGCTGGGCCCACAGGGGGTGCCCTTAGAGGCGACGGAACCGCGACGTGACAACGATGCGCGGATCACACATAAACGCGGCGAAGGTGTTGTTGTATGTTTTTCCCGGAGAGAGCCAGCTGGGATGCTAGCTTGGCCATTCTCGTCTAGAGAGTGGTTTGTTTCATGATGTTGCCCTCTTGGATTTGTGTGACAGATCTCTGTGCCCTGTTCTGGTGTCGGCAATTTGTTCGCAGGATATGCCCCTGCTCACCGTGGGCGGCTCTAAATGCCTCTTCATCGGACAGGCAGCAACACGCCTGGTTTGGGCAGGGGTAGTCGTGAGCCTCAAAATGCGGGTGAATTCCAAGGCCACCTCTATTGAACAAGTGTGCGCAGAAAACAGATTTCAATGGACCATCGGTTCCTTCATACGCTAACAAGCAGATCGCGAAAACGGATCGCACATTCCAACTTTCTGTCCGTCTCAAACAGTGAAAGCACAGTGTCCGTTGGAAGCATTTGCATATGCTTTTTTGGAAACGAAGGAGAATGACAGGCCGCACGTATTTGAAATCAATGCGCTGGTATGCTTGCTTCAGCTGCACCTATATACCTGTGAGGATCAGGTGGTGGAGAATTGCGGCCTTCCAGACGTCCGGGCACCCCAAATAGAAGGGTCAAACATGCAAATCACAGTTCTTACATTGATTCTTAATGATTCTTACCTATTTTAAGGTCAGATGGAGGCGGATGATCACGCTGAAGGAAGAAAAAGAGATTATATACACCCAACACAGGTTCAGTACTCGGTTGAGAAAAGCACGATAATCCACCGAAACTGGCAGCTTCAGAGCCTGCAGGATACGGCGATGGTTGCTGTATCCACCTACCCGATACACATAACAATCAATATCATACAGTTGATGCTGGTCCTTTGGCAGAGCCACAGCTTACTCTTAGGCTTTTCCCTGGGGTCGAAAAGGGTACCTCGATGCACCTGAGAGCCAAGGCCCCACAGTTCCCGCTGAAAAGGTCGCCAGTGGCCGTAATCGATCGGCTCCGGTGTGAAAATGAGGAGAAGCCCTGCGACAACTGCGAAAAGGCCCTGGTGCCTGCCGGGGGCGCCTGACGGAGTGGGTGGGTTGCCCAAGCACGAAGCCAAGTGATTTTCCATGATGGAATGGCAGGTGCAACTGCTGCAACTGGTAAACTCAAATATATAGGACCCGTGGAAACTTGGGAGCTCCGACTCTGGTGTTCCATTCGGCTTTTGCTTGTGCCAAAGAGGAGCGGATTGGAAGCGGACAGCCTTGATACAGACCAGCGCTTAAATGCGCATCGATGCGCCCATTGCCACGAAGCACTCGCAATTCCGAATTCGCTCGTGACCACGACTTGGACGTACGGTTGGACATAGGTCATGTCTTAAGCCCAGCTGGTTGGTGCCCAACAGACTGCACAGAGGATGGAGAGGGGTCATGTCTCAGCTAACGTCATCTCACCTTAGCTCCTCTTCGGGGCGCGGTTGAAGGTCAGAGACTTGGAAGAAAGCTCAGGACATTTGGCGTCCAAACAAGAAGCTTGTTAAGGACATGTGCTTTGTTAAGGACATGCGTGCTTTTTGTAAAGGAAATGTGTGCTTTGTGTTAACAAGACAGAGGAACGCACTGACCAAACAAAAAGCACATTTTTGAGGTGTCCGACCTCGGCTCAGCCATAGCATTGGCTTGGACGCGCGTCGGTCTACGTCCAAGCACGCCCAACGGCCACGTGGGTGGTCACATGCCATGGAGGGGCTGGTGCGCTCCGCGCGTAGCATTGAGGCAGACTTGGAGGCGGGGCACAGAGCTAGAACCTCATGATCTTGAAGGGTCCAATCTCAGAGAAATCCTGGTTGATTGGTGGAATCCTCGCTGCTTGGTACCAAACAGTGGTCATTGCAAGGAAGTTGAGATCAGACTCGTTGTCGTTGGTCTCCGCTGGAAAAATATAAGGCGCGCACCTCCGGCTTGGAGCGGTGCAAGCCGGAGCCGCGCTCAAGAGTGCAACGAAGTCTCATGGCCTCCACCATGTTGCAGCAGCTGTTGCAACCCCCCAAAAAACAAGCCCAACTCGCGAGGAAATTTGCCGGCGCTCCCAGAAGGTCAAGGTGCGAAGCGGAGTCGGCCACTGCGCGAGTGAGGGCTGGGTGGAGACCTGTCCGCCACCATGGATGAGTTGGTCACTGAGAAATGCTGCTGGGAGAATGGCACGGGGAATCGTCAACGGGGTCGACAAAGATAGGGTTGAAGCAGCCCTTGACATGATGGTTCACCACTCCCTGGCCAGGTATGCTTTGACACCTCCACTGTCGGATTTTCTCGTGTCGGCCCCAAAAGCAGGAAGTGAAGCTCCTGGCCAGACGTCCATCCTCAATCCGATCATTCTCACCACCTGACCAGCTTGGTCGGGTGCGTCATCGGCAGCCGGGCAGATTCGTCCGCCTGACGAACACGAGCGCCCGCGGGGGGGGGCGGGGCGAGCACCCTCGCGCCGGCCAGGAGAGTGTGGAAGGGATGCTCTCCGGCCTCCCGCAGCAGATCGAAGAGCCGGACACTGGTAAAAACGGGAGTGACTGAGTGGTGTGACCGGGTCGCGCGGGGCAAGGTGCGTCTGCGAAACACAGATGTTTTGAAGTTCGGTGGAGTGGGTAGTCATACCCTTAGTGTGACCTTCTACAGTGTTTTGAAGGCTCCTCCATTCAGCCTACATATTATTGCACTCTGGGTAGTTGCATGGTATTGTAGGAGCATCACTGGGAAGCTGACAAGACCCATCCAGGATGGTTCCACGAAAAAACACCAGGGCAATCCTCCTGAGCTAAGCTGCCCTGTGGCTGCACCTGGTCAGGTGGTGCTCAGAAAAGGAGAAGTCCTTTTCACCACCGACAGGGCATGGAGGTTCATGGACCGACAGATTGTTGTTAAAGGATGTTACAGGGAGTTCCTGGACCAGGCCGCCTGCAGGTTCATGGACTCAATTTGTTGTGTGGACAAGTGGATCAGATGCCTAAGATGCTGGAAGGCTTCTTGGATCACTCAATCTTGACTTATTCCAAGCTTATCGGTGCTTGGCCGGCCAGCAGGGCTGTGGTCTTGACACGTGTCACACACGCCCGACTCGTCTAACCCGTAGGACGGCACCGACCTGATGCTCCCGGAGTCCTTGAAGGCGGGTCCCGGCCTCGTGACGTTGGGGGTTTAGTGGAGCCGACTTGTGACGAACCGGAATGGGTCGCAGTTCGGCCGGCACGGGACCCTGAGGGACTCGCGGCAACCGTTCGTGGGGCCCAGGACTTTTGGGTCGTGCAGCAGGCCAACAGCTCGTGACCCCAGAGATGTGCTCAGACTCCCCGAATGAGCGGGGATAGATGAGGAAAGCCGGCGGTGACTGGGGTGGGGAAACCCATATGACCACTGCAAGGTTGTGTATGCATATATATGATATATATATATATACACATACACACACATATACATATATTTATGAATTGTATTAACTATATTGTATTATGTTATATTATATTATATTATGACTAGGCAGAGGAACGCGTTACAGTTTGCCACACTACTGGAAAAGGGCTTAACAGGTGAATGTTTGTCACTGTAGGGACCAGCCTTTGGCGAAGGTACGCCATGGGAAAGAACCGCGAGGATGTGTTCGAACGGCGAAAGGCTTTCCCTTTGTATGGCATGTGGGCCGCTTGGATGTGGGTCGCCCGTGCGGATGGCGGTTAGGATGGGGGATGAGGAGTCCATGCGAAGCAAAAAAAAATATGGAGCCCAATCTGTCTGGTAGGGACTTACTGGTTACTGTGCCCACTTTTTGCTACACGTCTTGTGATGGGCCGGGTCACAACGGGCCTCAGAAGGAAAAGTCTCATCCGCCAGAGATCGAAAAAGGCACCCTGTAATACTATGAGGCATGAGGCTTCTTTGATCAGGCATGCGCTCAGAGATTTGGTTGAGTAGCGCATTGCACGCTTGAACACCGAAACAGAACCCAAAGTCGGAGGGGCTAGCATGCCTTGCAGCCCCCAAAACCCATTGAAGGAGCTCCCTACAGTGCTAGATCCAGATCAGAGGGATTTTTGTCATACACAGTCCAACCTTTCCTCCTCCGTGCATGAGCGCTTTTGAGGAAGAGCTGAGCGCCAGGGCCGAAGTGTCCCAGCGGCAATAGAGTCGTAGAGGAGAAGGCCTCCCCTTGCACCTCACATCCAACAAGAGCAGTTCAGGTTGTGCTGGCGGATCAACTAACGATCAATAGTGGCTGTATGTTTGGCATCTGGGATGGTGAGTCATAATCCACCTATGACGAGTTTTCTCATGTGGAGCCTAGCTGCTGAGCAGCGTGTGAAGCATGCAGATCAATTCATTGAAGTCGTTAAGTCCAGTGGGGGCTTCAACTTGCCATGCCATGTGGGGTTTGCTTTTGCCTTCAATTTCTGAGCCCAGCTGTTCCCACCTCGGTCAACGTTGATCAAAGGTCGACTGAAGTGCAGAGAGGTGGTTTCAGCATTTTTCTGTGGGTGTCCCTTTTGCCGCCGCTTCCTTAAAGGAACAACCTTACAGATCAAGGAATTGAACAATGCATCTCCATCTCCCATGTCCCCTGGTGACAAAATGTCCACGAATGGCACCTCACTCACCCAGGGACCTCCACCATGTCTCTCTCTCTCTCTCAGACCGCTGTTTCGTTCCCAGACAGCCGCAAACGGACCGTGCGCCCGCATGGGCTGGCGTTCAGGCGTTCGACATCGGACGCCCAGGGTCCGATCCGCGGGACTGAAGTCCGAAACGCCCAGGGTCCGATCCTTTCTTTCTGTTGATGATACCATGGTTATGCCTTCGAAAAGAAGGGGTCCGAAAGGGTGCGGCAGTCTCGGCCCAAAGATTGACCTTCGAGTTTCCCCTCACAGGGGCGTAGAAGGAGCCTCATTGGGCTCTTCAGACCCTGACCCTGATAGCAAGCCGTTTCTGCCTGAGGCCATGCGGTCACAGACGACTCTCAAGCATTCCAAGTCCTTCATCAATCTGAAGTTGACCAACGCCTTGGAGGTCTGAGACGAGTCATGCAGACACATGTGTTGGGGGAATCCCTGGCACCATGGACGTGCCAGGGGCATGGACATGCGCGATCGGGCCTCGGTTGGGCACGCAAGTGTTGATTCATGTTATTCACGACAGGAAGAAATCCTTGACATGACATCGATGATTCCAGACATGAATTGTTGGAGTTATTGGGAGGGTTCCATCAGTAGCATGTGAACCCCCTTTTGAAAGCACGATCTGGAAAGTATTTGCATGTTCGTTCTGGGAGGGGTGCTGTGTCAGTTGCTGTGCCAGTTACTCAGTTGTAGTTAGAGGCTAGCATTGCCACTGTGCCACACATCCTAGAGGTCTCTCAAAAGCATAATGACTTCCAGTTCCTTCTTCCGTCTAAGAGATTCACTTCCCATTTATTTGGGAGGAACTCTGTAGGACCTATGCTCCGATGACCCGTGTACAACGCTCCTTCATCGGAGGGAGCGACAGCCCGTCAGCCGGAGCAGCCTGACAGGGTTTCCCTCCTCTTTCGCGCCTCCAGGACACACATGTTCAGACCCCGAACGAGGATGAACAGGTGAACTCCTGTAAACGCAGCATGGCTGGAAAACACCTCCATCAAAGGCAGTGAGGATAACGGCTGGACGATCATGATGCATGGGGTTTCGAACGCCAGAGATGGGGGGCTCACATCCACCATCATCCACCCTTAGCCCTTTTTGCAAGACACATGCGCACGACGCTCGGCCAATTTTCCACGCTGCCATCAGTGTTAGTAGGGTCTGCCCATCAACTGCGCATTTGGACTGGAGTTTTGGAATGAGATTCCCCAACAGGTCCCACGCACCCCAACGCCCAAAGGATGGCTTTGGCAAGAACCCCTTGACAAGTCGATCTTGAGCTAGTCATTTCCTCACAGTTTGGCTACAAAACCGTGTGGGTGAAGTGTTTGAAGGTCGTGAGTATGGTGGGGCCAATTTGGCGATTGAGCTGGCAAAGCTGCCTTGTGCTTTCACCTTTTGGGTTTCGGCTCCGGCTCACGAAGCACCTCGCTTTATATAAATATTTAAACATAAAACATTAGCAACTAAATGTTTCCTTCTGGGCACGATTATATAGATATATAATGGTGTTTAGGAGCCACCATTGTTTTACTAAGGATTTTAATGATTTTACCGTACGAAAACAGCTCAACCATTTTTAAAAATAGTCTTGGACTTCCAGGGTGCGGTTGCACCAGCTAGCCAAAACTTGTTTCACAGACCTGGAAAACCTGCCTTCAGCACCCGACCGCGAAAAAAGCCTACCTTCGTCATGGCCCGCAGAAAATGGGCCCAAGCGATGGCCCAAGCGATCCGAGCGAAGCCGCATTTGATCCGAGGCACGCTGGCGGACCCTCACTCGGAGTTCCGCTTGCTCCTGGGCGGCCGTTCCGTCCGGTGCGCGGTGCGAACGACGGAGGACGGAAAGAGCAAGAAAGCCCGGAGGACTGAAAGCGTGGGCGTAGGTACCACAAAATGGAACATCAGCGCTTTCAACCCCCGAAAACATCATTGACGCTTTCAACTGATCTTCCCCTCAACTTCCACCATTAAAGCACCATTTGGGTGGCGAACAGTTGGCAGTTCCTTTCAGGCTTTGGTCGTTTTGTGCTTTGCTCTTCGTGGTCTTCGATGCGATCTCCATCCCCGCCCCTCGACTACAGTACTTGGGCCGGGCCGCAGTTCGGACACTTCGCATGAACTCTCAAGTGCCGGAGGTCTCAAGGTCTCAGCCTCCAGCGTCCAAATGAAAAGGAGTTGCAAAGGTGTGTCAAGAGTCTTAAAGGAGTCAAAGCTCTCCAGGTTTGAGTTGTCCTTCGCGCTGCTTTGTTTCTTTCTCCTTTGCGAAAGCCTCAGAGGTTGATCAATCCCTTGTGCTAAAACAACAATTGGCAAGGCGATTCTCCTCCACTAGGAGGGGTGACCACCCCCATCAGTCAACTTCCCTGGTGCATCGCTCTGTGCGAAGACGCCAGGTCATGGTGAGTTGGGAGGTGCCCAGCGCTGAATTGGTGGGCATTTTGCCACTTGGAGCCGCCTTATGAAATAAGAGGGTGTGCTTTGAGGACCTTGAAGGTCCGCCTGAAAACTCACATGACTCACATGGAATATGAACCCTTGAGAGACCAAAGGAACACATGGACATCACATGGACATATCCCCTATCTAAATCCACCGCCGCAGCCGGGGCACCCGCCGCACATCCAAGGGTGCCCATGAACCTCTACTGGACCATCGACATGTTCTTCAGTGCCCAGACAGGTGGGCCGATAGGACACGTGAAGGCTGTACCTGGGAGAATGCTGCGTCTGACCGTCCTGGCTGGGAACCACGGACTTGATTCGGACAAGGACGGTCAGAGTGTCCCGAACGTGAAAGGGGCGATAGGTGAAGCATGCCTTCAACAAAGGACACATGCCAAAAGAACCCCTGGATAAAAATACAGTATATAGATGAAACAGGATAGAATTCCATGAGGGTTGTTCCCTTGTTTGAGAGTGTTTTGGTGCCCATTTGCAGGGTGTTGAGGCTCTAAACGACAGGTTCAGGATCCTGGAGACAAGATCAGGCTGAAGCGTTTGAAAGGAGCTTGATGTTGAGCACGGTCCACATATGCCTCGCCGGGCTTAGTATCAGTCATGCTTGTGGCGGGTGGGAATTCTGGTGGTTAGGGCCAAGGGTCGGTACCTCAATGCCTTCGGATTTGGTGTGTGACTGCTGGCATGTATGGGAGTGTTCTGGTGTCCGTTTTCTACACTCATGCAGTCATTGGGGTCGAATTCCTGATGGCTTCCTGGATCACTAGGACCTTCTAGCTTTTCAAAGCGCTTTGTAGGCCCCTTCATTTGATCAAAAAGGCCCTGCAGCGCCATGTGCTGCATGCCTGTGCTTCCGGTAGGCTTCTATGAGCATGGCCTACTAGTGCGATCCTCTGGTCGGACACTGCAGCCACTCGGTGGCACGACCCTTTCTACGCGTCGCGGTCGAACAGACCCCGAGAGAGAGAGACCCCCCAGGGTGGCCGATTCGGAGGATTCCCGCGTCAAGGTCGAGTACACTGCACCGGGGCCCGAACTCGACCGTCGGAACTGGTCGGCGTCCAGCGTCTGAACTGGCACCCTTACGTCCAGCTTTTTGGAACTGCTGCTTCTGGCTGCTTTTGTGAACAAAGGTGTGTTTGGTGATGGGTGAATTTCTGGGAACTTTTCTGAACTCCAAAGCGGTTGTGCCAGACAGCCTGGGCATGAACTCCAAAAGGCTGGCTCAATCTGGCAGGGGTCATCCCCATCACTGACCCACCACCACATCTCCAATCCCAGAGTTGGATCGCCATCACCTGATCTAGACCAGATTAAGGGACCCATAGGGCACAAGCACAGTCGATTCGTTGTTGGGGATTTGCTGTCTGGTTTTCTGGTGGCCATTTCCGCAGCCGATGGTTTTCGGGCCGGCCTGCAGCGCCACGTGGCGCAATCGTGCGCGCGCTTTCGTTCCAAGGCATTACCTGCGGACTTGGTTCGTCTTTGACGTCATCGTCATCTCCTTCGATTGGGCTCCTGGGCCGCTGTTCCACCGCACGACTTGGACCTCTGTTCCGCGCGGCTTTCGCCGCGGCGTTTGGGTCTCCCAACTTCCCGGAAAAACGCGGCCGTTCACCGTCCGTCAAAGTTCCAGTCGGAGAGAAAGGCCATCAGCTCGTCTGCACTACTGGGAGCAGTCCATCGGGTCCTGTTTTTCCATCGGGTCCTGTTTTCCATGGTCCTGTTTTTCCATCGAGTCCGATGCACTGCGTTGGGTGAGGAGGTTCACTCCACGTGTGCAGTGTTTGGGACCGGTGAGGTGGCGATCCACGCTTTGGGGCCCGATCCACCTTCCATTGGCGATCCACGCTTTGGGGCCCGATCCACCTTCCATTTGCCATCATTTGCTTGAAGATGAGCGTGCCAGTGATTGCCGGTGTGCGTGTTAATCCTTCCAATTGATGGTGGAGTGATCTTCCATGTTCAGAATGGTGTTGGGCAGTGCGGCCCAGTTCCAGCATTTATGGTGATGCCGGTTGAATCGAAGAGCAGATCTTCCTCGCTTCTTTTAGGGATGTTGTTGTGCACGCATGGGTGTCCTTGTGTCGAGGTCGGTGGGCAGTCCGACAGGTACGACGCGAGTGCCCTCGTGTGCCCTCGTGTGTGTCCATCTCCAGCTGAAGCATCTCCCTTGGGTCAAAGCACCTCCAGCTGCACCACTCCAAAGCCCCCCTCAGCTGATCCAACGAAGCTTTTCTCAGGGGATTTGGGTGTTCTTCTCAGCTGCCAGGACTAACAAAACTGGCACGTTCGCTGCGGCACCGCAAGCTGCCAAGCAAGCTAGTGCCGAGGTGATGATCATCTTGGAGGAGGCCTCTGCCGTCGGCTCCAGTGCTCGGGTGCTGCGTGCCTTCCGCATGATCCGCCCCGCGGCACGACTCCGGGGTTCAAAAAGCAACGGGGGCATCTAGGGTCAGACCTCCTCCCTCTCAATCATAACTTGAACCTTGGGAACCGTCAAGGTTTGGACACCACCACTAACAGGGGTCCCCTAAATCGATAGACATACTTTCCAAATCTTTCCAAGACATCCCTTTTGAACGGGAGGGTGGCCTTTTCATCCGATCACCCCTTTTGTGGCTTTGAGCAGCCGCGAGCTACGCGGCGACGCGGCTGCTTCGCGGTGTCGACACGCGTCGCGGCTCAGATCCTCAGAGTGCTGCACTCGTCTGAGGCATCATTCGCCTCTTGCGCCTGGCCAAGTTGCAAGCAATCGTGCAGGTGGTTGAGGCGTTTGGCAAAAGTTGGGGATAGTAGAAACATGTAAAAAAGAACTGTCGAAAGGAGAAAACTAAAGATAGTGACCTCCCTTCAAATCGTTCAAATCGATTCGGCCTTGGTGCCGGCTGCCCCCGGCGTTCCTTTTTGGGGAGTGGCGTGAGTCACACAGTTGAGATCACAAGCGCAGGGCGATAACTGAGGGACGACCGGCGATGGGGTCGTCGGGTCAGAATGAGGTGATGGGGAGGTGGTCATGATTTCTGATGATTTCTGTATGCCAACAGGTCAGCCTGGTTGCGTTCTTCATGATTTATGATGTTTGTATCAGGGACGTCGAGGTTGACCTGAGGGGCTGAGCTGCAGCGCCCGCGGCAGGATTCCTTGGGTGTATCCTATACCCAAGCCTTTCAGTTGCTGCTGGCAGTTGTGAAGGCGTTGCTCGTGATCCTCTTTAGCGTGCATGTTCCCTGGAGCAGCGGTTGCCTGGGCGGTGTTGTTGGGGCTTGTTGGATGCGACGGAGGAATACGGAGGAGGGAGGGAACATGACCACATTGACCACATTCATCTCGTTGCACTGATTCGAAGACGTCGCTTGAATCCCGCCATAACCTGCGTTAGGATTATTAGAGAATCACCCTTGCCGCATGACTTGATCAGTGTGCTGTCCAACGGTGCTGTGATGGGGTGGACGGACATGCCGAGCTTGTGCAGAGGAGATTGTGACACGATGAACCGGGAACCCACCAGAAGACCTATATGCAGACATGTCTCACCTGAACTGTTTGATGACTTTTGTTGTTCAGGTGCTGGGCTGCTTTTGGTACCTCATCGGTCGTTTGGCCGAGGAAAGTCAGGAGCAGGACAGCCCATATGTGGCAGGATTTAGAACCTATTAGAGGTGTCACAATCATACTTCTGAGGTTTGGGGTTGAAGTCGCTTTCCTTGAGCTAGATTGCTCAGCTCTATCATTGATTTGCATTTGGTGGGCCACACCCTTTGTTAATGCTTGCGCACTTGTGTGTGTGTGTGTGTAACCCTTGGAATCACAGGGATCCATTTGGATTGTATCTTTGAAGGATTTTCCAATGTAGGTTGCAGGGGGATGCCCCACACCTGAAGAGAGGGCATCTAACAAAGAGGCTCTTCAGGTTGTGCTGATATCAGCAAGGACACTTGCTGACGAACCTGCATCAACTTTTAAAGTTTTTCGGCAGACATGCACGCCACACCGACACTTGTCGTCTCGATCTCGACTTGAGTTTTTGGCCTCATCTCTGTTTAAGGCCCTCAGAAGCTTTTGGGGGTTTTGCCTGAACAGTTCAGGACTTGGGAACCTAGGCTGGTGTGTGGCAAACCGCTTTCAAATCAGTACGCATTTTTATAAGTGTGTTTGGCTTCATGCCAGCGCAGGGTGACCACGCAGAGTGGCCCCTGTGGACCCGTTGAATGGGGTTTGTCTTCGTCCCTGCGCCCGGGACCAGAGTAGTCCGCAGCGGACAAAGTAGGCTTAGGCCAAAGTCATTTGCCAAGACCTGTCGAACTACTGAACCCCAAGGTGGCCGCCATTTTGGCATGCCTTTAGGTGACCACAGCGGTCTCAAGTCGCCCGCCATTTTGGCATGGCACAGGTGACCAGAGCGGTCAAAGCAATTTCAAATTTCATTGGAACCTGTCAGGACCTTAACCCCCCCCCTCTCTCTCTCTCTTACCCTTCCCCTCCTCCTTTTTGAGGTGTTCGGTGTTCCTGAATGTAGCACTCAGGTAAACCCCTCTCCCTGGTGTGTCCCTGCACGCTTGTTCGTAGCTGGGAACACTTGTTCACTTCCTTTTCTTTCCTCCTCTCTCTCTCTCTCTCTCTCTTTTCCCTCTTTCTCTCCCCCTCTCTCTCTCTCTCTCTTTCTCTTTCTCTTTCTCTCTTTTTTCTCTTTCCTGTTTTCCCCTTCCATCTTACCTGGGTGTCCCTGGGTGCTTTCGTCATAGCTGGGAGCCCTTCTCTTCTTCTCCCGGTGTGTCCTTGGACGCTTGTGCCGTAGCTGGGAACACCTTCTTTTCCTTTCCTTTCTTCTTTTTCTTTCCTCTCCTCTCTCCCTACCCCTCCCTCCCTCGCGCGCGTTGTTTTCACACACAAAAGAGACGTTGCAACAGGTTTTCAATGAGGTCTGGCTTCATCGGTTCTTGTCTCCTCCTTTTGGTTCCCTTTTCATCCTTCCCCCGTTACATACATGTGTTCTTTCTTTCCTGCCCTCCTGTCTTCATGTCTTGGCATTTCACTCTTTCTTTCTTTTGCGCGCACATCGGTCCCGCCCTTAGTGTGTACGCGCACATCTTCACGCACTTTTAACCGAGGCTTCAGGTCGCCCAGGTTTGATAATGAGGTGGGCACTTGGTTCCTCTTCGTTGCAACCGCGTGCACTTTTGTCCTGTCTCGTCCTCTTTTCATGTCTTCATCCTTTTGTCCGTGCGGCGCACACGTGCACAATCGCCTTCACCTCAGTTCTTCGCCTCCCCTCGGGGAGGCGTGTGTGTGTGTGTGTGTGTGCCCCTTGTAGTCACAGGGATTCTTTGGAATTGTAGTTCTGAGCAGGGGGGCACAGGAGGCCCATAGAGCTGTGCCCAACGAAGCTCTCTATGGTGACCTCAGGATATGCAGCCTGATCAGCTGCACGTACCTGCTGAATTTTAACATTTGCCGAGTTAGCTTCTGCAGTCACGCACGCAACGTCGTCATCTCGCCCTGTTCGTCGTTTTCGACCTTACGCTTTTGGCCTCACTTCCTCTTGAAGACCCCCAGGATCCAGGGCTTCGTACATGTATTCTTAGGCGTTGGAACCCTAGGCCGGCGTGTGGCACTGCTGTCAAGTCAGTACGCATTTCCATAAGTGTGTTTGGCCTGGTGACGGGGGTTTGTCGTTATCTCCCCTGCCCGGAGATGTAAGTGTCCGTAGCGGACAGCAGATGGCTTATGCCACAAGAAGTGGGACGTTTGTCTCATTTTTGGAATTCCAAGCTGGCTCATGCCTTTACGTGACCGCAGCGGTCAAAGGTGGCAGCCTTCGGGCAAGCCGTACGTGGTCACAGCGACCGAAGTTTGTTCAAGGTTCATTGGAACCTGTCACAAGCTTAGTCCCCCCTCCTTCCCCTTCCCTCCCCTTTCTTTCCTTGCTTTTTGGGGTTTTCCTGAATGGAAGACTCAGGATCACCCCTTTCTTTCTTTGGTGTGTCCCTGGACGATTGTTCGTAGCTGGGAACACCTGCTTTTAAACTTTTCTCTCCTCTCCCTTTCTCTTCCTCTCTCTTGCTTTCTTTCTTTCCTCTCTTCACCTTCCTTCCTCCTTGGGTGTCCCTGGATGCTTTTGTCATAGCTGGGAACCCTTCTCCTCTCTTTCTTTGGTGTGTCCTTGGACGCATGCGTCGTAGCTGGGAACACTTCCTTTCTTCTCCTTCCTTTTTCTCGTCTCTCCCTACCCCTCCCTCCTGTCGGGACCTTGGATGCTACTAGGGGCTCCTGGCCTTCCTACTAGGTGCTAGGTGTTTCTTTGACGCTACTAGAGGTTCCTGGCCTTACCTCTACTTGGAGACGAAGTGCACCTCGTTGCCTCGTTGATTGGAATTCTTGACATGCTTGGAGACGAAGTACACCCGCTAACAGAAGTACACCTCGTTGATTGGAATTCTTGACATACTTGGAGACAAAGTACACCTCGTTGATTGGAACTCTTGACGTTTACCTGTTGATGCCTTTTATCATTTGTCATTAGTTTCATCCAACCTTCCCGGTGTGGCGCTTAGAAAACTTGCCTCCCTTTGGGGAGGCGTGTGTGTGTGCCCCTTGTAGTCACAGGGACTCTTTGGAATTGTAGTTTTGAGCAGGGGGGCACAGGAGGCCCATAGAGCTGTGCCCAACGAAGCTCTCTATGGTGACCTCAGGATATGCAGCCTGATCAGCTGCACGTACCTGCTGAATTTTAACATTTGCCGAGTTAGCTTCTGCAGTCACGCACGCAACGTCGTCATCTCGCCCTGTTCGTCGTTTTCGACCTTACGATTTTGGCCTCACTTCCTCTTGAAGACCCCCAGGATCCAGGGCTTCGTACATGTACTCTTAGGCATTGGAACCCTAGGCCGGCGTGTGGCACTGCTGTCAAGTCAGTACGCATGTCCATAAGTGTGTGTAACCCTTGGAATCACAGGGATCCATTTGGATTGTATCTTTGAAGGTTTTTCCAATGCAGGTTGCAAGGGGATGCATTCTTGTCCCACTTTGAGGCTCTCGTTCCCACTTTGTTCCCACTTTGTCCCCATTCTTGTCGCACTTTGGGGTTCTTGTTCCCGCTTTGT